AACTCTGAATTGAAGTTTCCAAGGTCCTGGGAGAACATCCTGCCCTGAATGGTGTTGCACCCCTCCTGAGAATCAAGTATACTGTATAGTATGGTGATCCTGCTAGATTCATCATAATTGGAAGGATAAATATTCTTGGCTGTTTGGAATTATTTTGACTTGCCAATTACAAGTGTTCCTAGACAGGGACAGCCTGGTCTCGGTAATTCATGTACTGGTAAGTTCCTGAAGATTACTGTAATGTGGGACTGGCCTGAAAACAGCACAGGACTGCAGGATGAAAATATTTCATTGATTTAAAAGACCTGAACTAGTTGCCAATATTCTTCTGGTAAAATAAATCAAATCTTTATTATGGTCATAGACCATAATAGACCATAGACCAATTCTGGTTCAGAATTGTTAGTTATGTTAATGACTAAAATCTATAGGAGTATTTGAAGGAGTATTTCTCCCAATTTACACTTCCCCAAATATTACAGTTTTTCCAATCTCTATTCTACTCTCCTGTCACTGGAAAAAGTACATTGTGGAAATATGAGAAAGTACTTTCTTGACATAGCTTTTTTTTAATAAGGAAACCCTCATCCTAAAGAAAGATACTGTAGGTGCTAATACCATTTATTTTTGGTACCAAATAAAGACCTGCCTACTCACTTTGGCTTTTAGGTTTGATCTACTTTTCTTGCTCTTTTCTTTTTTCATTGCTTGATAAAATAAGTTACACATGTTTTTAAATGCATATATGTCTCCATAAAACTTTGACAATCATTCCAATATTATTCTGGATTATGTCAATGACACTACAAAAGAGAATTGCATAAACACAATTTTTGTTAATCTTATGAAAGAGGGTCCCTGTAACTAATATTACTGATTAGGGATAACAGAACCCAGTAGATTTAGGACATATTACAGTATTATTATTTCCTTAATGCTGTTGACTGATGTCCTGTCTGAGGGAATGTCTCAAAATTATGAACCTTATCACTATATATCTCATCCTATCATCATCCTACCAATGTTTTATTTTCTTTGGCCTATATCATTAACAGCCTGATAATCCATGTTAAATTATCTGAATTCAATGGGAGAATCCAAATCATACAGAAGCTATATGTCGTTTTAGCTGCAGATATATGACTAGCATGCTATTCAAAAGCATAAAACGTTTAATTTTGAAAGAATAGGAAGATTCCTTTTAATTCTTTAAACAACAGCCTTTGTGAAAGTTGAAAAATCAGATTAGGTCTTCTAAAAGAGTAATTTAAGATGAATATTAAACCACTAAGAATAAAAAAAAAACTTGCAAAGCATTGCTGAAATTGCTGTGGTAAATTGCCAGTTTTTCCTTCATAGTCATCTAAAGTCATGTAAAGCTTTCATTAGTGGCCAGCTCAAATTAGATCTTCCCCAAAACAAACTGAACTCAAAGATGGACTTCTATTAAAGCTTTTTTAAAATAGTTATTGTAGTTCTTTTCCTCTGATGCTTTTCAACTTTTAACTTTGCTGTTCTTGTATGTAGTTCCACTTAATGGCATCATTACTGAACATTTGGGCAGATGCTAAACATTTAAAATCAAAATGATTTGCTTTTGTTTTTATCAATACTTTTTATTTTAAGTTCATATTTTTTTATTATCATTCTTATCACCCAGACAAAGTTTATATTTCTTACCAAACTCATCAGCTGTGGAAATCTTTTAAGTTTTCTTTAATTTCTTATAAAAATGGAGACAGGAAAGGGGGAAAAAATCTAGCTGAGTTGACAGATAAAACTATTAATTTGCTGTCGTTAGGTTCTCATTCACTGAATATTTTTACAAGGTTACGATCATCTGGCTAATTCTGTCATATCAGGATGGTATTAAAGGTAAGGTTATAATATCTACTTAAAGCAATCTATTATGAAATGTCATGGAAACTTTTTTTTTCCCCCAATCCCTATTACAGTTTTAGGGTGAACAGATTTTGAAAGATATCTTCTTATACTCCTTTAAAGATCCCTAATAAATAGAACAATGTTATTACAGTTTGTGAGATACAAAATCAGGAGCTGGACTGGAACAAGAACCAAACTCAGCCTCCCAAGCCAAATTTAATATTTTATCCACTGTGCTGGGAACTGGTAAACAGAAGTCCAAACAGAATCAATCAGTACATTCCGACAAGCAAAAGGAATGCAAGATCTGGCCTGCTAATAACTGACTCATAAGTAAACCACTATGGATCTGCAACCTAGATAGTCCTCCAGGTGTATAGAAAATAATACTCCATAGCTGGTGGCTCCTTTAGTTCAAAATGCTCTACTACATCAGTTTAAAAAGCATGATGATTAGCTTTCAATACATTTATCAAAAGTGTCATTCAAGTAACCAGTATGTAAAATATAATAATTATCACATAGCACATATAAAGCATAATGGGAAAGGACACTTTGCTATTCTTGCTCTTTCCAGATGAGATAGGAAAGACTGAAATACTGGTTTAAAGCATTAAAAAAAAAAATAAAGTGAACTTTACTTACAGTACCATTATAGTGTACTGAAGTCTCTTTCGAGAAATCTCATTTTACAGAATGGTTTATTAATATTCTGGTAATAATCATTTTTTAAAGTAAAGAGTAGAGCCAATTCACTATTATGAGAAATATTTTATTGATTGAATTCCTCATAGCTGTTTAAGTTTAAAATTATAGCTGAGGGGTAAATTGCAGATACTAAAGATCGTTTTGTATTAAGATGAAAATGTTACCCAGGTTTGTAATACTAATTAAACTACTATATGACCCTTGACTTCTAATACAAAAGTTATTTTTTTGTTTGAAAGGGATCTTTTCCTTCAAAGTAATCTTTCAATTATACTTAAAAAAACACAGGTGACAAGCCTATAAGGCATCATCATACTACTATAACAATAATTTTTTATTTTAAATAAAAATAAATAAATACAGATTTTTTTGCTTCAGTTCTCAGGGAGGTTTAGTTATGTGACTCCTATGAATTTTAATAGGATTAGCAACAGATATCTGTGTAGTGGAATTCTTTGGGAACTAATGTCAGTAGAATGTTATTCTCCCCATATTTGTTCTCAGAACATTAATCCTAATTTTCATATTGCCAAAATGGTCCTAAAGGAGAGAAAAGTTACAGTACAAACATTCTGAGTTTTAGAACCATTTCATATAAGAAAGGTGATAACATACTGATGAATCTCATAGGTTAAATTTAAAAGATAGCATTGGCAAATAACTGAAAATATAAAATTGTTTCCTCCTAAATAAGTAATAGTCTTTGTTAAATTAAGAGTATTCTAGACATATCATTCAGGTCTACTTATCTAGCAAAATGGTAAGATTGGGCATGGCTTAGAAGAAGGGTTGGAGTAGACACCAGAGGCCTGCCAGAAAATTTGGGTGATCTAGGTAGCCAGTGTGGATGAACACACAAAGCACAGAGATGCTTTGATAGATGCCACAGGTTGGAATGTGGAAACTGCCTCTGCAGGTTAGTGGAGAGAATCATGACAGGGCTAGGTGAGATTGGAAGCTTGACCTGGAGGCTTCAGAAAGGACACCATAGTCCTGGAGAGTACCTGAGAAATTGGAACCCCAGTGACAGACCTTGTGATTATGTATGCTTAAGAAAATTTCTAGAGATGCCATGCCACTGCAGAGATCACTTACTGGAGCCTTTTTTGTCAGTGTGGCATGGGAGTATGGAGCATAGAAGAGTCATGGTCCCTTCTCTGGACCTTCTGAAGGTCAAGAGTTGATTCCTCATGGTGGACTAAAGAAAAGAACCCCCTGTCTAAAATGAGGAGAGACTCCTGATCCCACTAAGCCCTACTGGGTATGAGCTACCGTGCAGCTACTGGGGTGGGTTGTCTGAATGGAAGAGGTGGGTGGAAGTTGTTGTGCTATTGTTCCTGCCATTATTTATTGACTGTTTGGGACCAGGGAAGACAAAGGACTGTTTCCCGACCTGTCTGTTTCTGTGACTGACATTGGATATTTGTGGTGGTGGGGACACGAAAGCAGAGGGAAAGATAATAGTAATGGTGGACTTGGGGAAATACAGTGGGAACTGGGGTGGCAAGCCTTTCCAAGGAAGAGAGATTTGAAATGTGGTTCTAATCTCTACTTTCAGCCCCCACCCCACCCCAGTCTTGGCTCGGGAACCAGGCAACCAGATAATGGGCAATCTGGACTCAGGTCTGTCTGCAATAAAAACAGCTTCATCTACAATTTAATTATGGATGAGAGAACAGATCTGGCATGTATAATTGAAACCTGGCTGGATGAAACCTTGTCTCCTCACAGAGATCTGTCCAGCCAGGTTTCATGTTTTGCATCAGTCCCAACCATGGTAAGGGAAAATGGTACACCTATTGTAGATTGGAGGCATTGTTATCCAGGCAGCCATTGGTGAGGCCTTACTCATGCTGATCGGCCAAAGGTGTCAAGCTAGAGGTTCTTCTGTTGTGCAGTCCTCAAACTGCATAGCAGCAATCTTTACTGAGGTGCTCAACCACATTACAGGGTGGTTGTTTATTTGTCCAGATCATTGGCTGATTTCAACCATCACTCCTTTGGATCAGAGGTGATGAAGGAGTTGATGGCTGCCATGACAACTATAGACTTGTCCTAGGTCTTCACTGGGTTTGTTCAAATTTATTTATTTATTTATTCAATTTATATAGCCGCCCATCTCATATTTGTGATTCTGGACAGCTTACAATTAAAACATAAACATTACCAAAAATAAGAAAACAGCACTAAAAACAATACAAACATTAAAAACAATTAAACAATTAAAAGGCATACAGTACAATCACTGGGAGAGCCCAGACGTTCAAGAACAGTACAGCCATTTTATAGGCTCCACACCACTCTCTGAACCCCAGGCCAGATGGCAAAGCCAGGTCTTCAGGCCCTTCCAGAAGGTCATCAAGGTCAGGGCCAGCCTGACTTGGGGGGAATGATGTTCCATAGTGTAGGTGCAGCAGCAGAAAAGGCCCTCCTCCTGGATCCCGCCAGATGACATTCTCTAGTTGACAGAACCTGCAACGAGCCTCTTCTGCTGGACCTGATGGGATGGGTAGATGTCACTGGGGAAAGACAATCCCTCAAATAACCCAGCCCTATGCCATGTAGACTTTTATAGATTATTACCAGCACCCTGAATTGGACCCAGAAGCAAATTGGTAGCCAATGCAGCTCATGGAGCAGAGGTGTAACATGCGCAGATCTAGGTGCACACATAACTGTCTATGCTGCTGCATTTTGCACCAACTGAAGTTTCCAAATACTCTTCAATGACCCATGTAGAGTGTAGTACAGTAATCTATACAAGAGGTGACCAGGGCATGACTGATGGAGCATAGAGCCTCCTGATCCAGGAATGGGTGCAACTGAAGCTGTGCAAAGGCCCTCCTAGCCACACTGCTCTTTGAATAGGAGTCATGAATCCAGAAGGACCCCCAGATTCCACACTGAGTCTGTCTGGGGAAGTGCAACCCCCATCCAGAAACAAAGATGGTAAATTCCTAGATCCAGGAGGCCCCCAAACCCAAAGCCACTTAGTCTTGCCAGGATTGAGCTGAAGTCTGTTGTTCCCCATCCAAATCCCTACAGCCTCCATGCACCAAGACAGGACACTACTTCACCAGGGGCAGAGATATATAGCTGGGTACCATCAGCATACTGATGATACCTCAACCCCATGGCTATGTATGACCACACCCAGAAGCTTCATGTAGATGTTAAATAGGAGCAGAGAAAGTATCGAACCCTGTGACACTCCACAATTTAGGGGCCAGAGGCAGGATCTTTTGTCCCCAGTCAACACCAACTGAAACCGGCCACTGAGAAAGGAAGAGAACCAATTCAATACAGTGCTGCCCACTCCCAACTCCCACACCCAGTCCAGAAGGATATCATTGTCAATGATATTGAAAGCTACTGAGAGGTCAAGAAAAGCAAGGATGTACGCACCATCCTGCTCTCACCAGAGGCCATCAAAAAGTGCAACTAATGCTATCTCAGGCCCATAACCAGGCCTGAAACCTGACTGAAAGGGGTCCACATAATCCACTTCATCAAATAGCTGGCCACACGTTAGATCTGATGTTCAGCTTGGAGAAGATGTGTCATCATTTGGTTTTGGAGAATTTTTCCATCACTCCATTTGATGGACAGTTTACCATCTCATGACAATAAGATTAACTGGAACCAACCACCTCCACATGGAGAGTCTACTAAGTTGGCCTGTCTCAGAGATCTGATGGATCCAGTAGGTGGCATCTGGAGAGTTTCTGAGTAATGTTCTTTGTTGATCTATGGAATACCAAGGCAACCTGGGTTTTCAACAGGATTGCCCCTGAATGGCCTCTTGCTATTTGCCAGTCCTGTGCAATTCCTTTGTTTATTGTTTATTGAGTAGCTCCAGGAAATAAAGTAGGCGAAGAGATGCCTGGGCAACACTGACCGAAAAAAAGAAGTGAATGTGACTGGACATGAATAACAGTTAAGATGCAAGCCTACTCTGTGGAGATAAAGGTGACAAAGTAGAACTACTTCTCTGTCCTTATTGCATCTGTGGAATACCAACCAGCTGCACTATTTAAAATGCCTGGATCCTCTTGGGGAACGACAGGCTGGAAGATCCAGTCAGTGTAAGCTGTGATTGCCTGCCAAGCATTTCATGTATAAAATCATTCACATTCACTCCAACGTGGAAGCCAAATGGACAACATCTATTGTCTTGTGATGTTTCCTAGAAGGCTGTTGAACCTTTGGCTGGTCTAGAACACAGCACACATGTTGAGGGCCAGTCATGGTACAGCTATACTACACCTCTACTGTTGGAACTGCACTGGTTACCATTAAGTTTCCCAGTGCAATTCAAGGTACTGTTTGCTACCAAAAAACAAAAAAATGCACCCAGGGCTTAGGCCATGGGTATCTTAGAGACTGCTTTTCCCCAGTTCTTTCTCTCTGTCCTACCTGGACAACACTGGAGTCCTGCTAAGTATCCTGGCTGGCTGGGGAATTCTGGGAATTGAAGTCCACACATCTTCAGGTCGCCAAGGTTGAGGAACCCTGGTATAAGCCATAGGCCCTGTATTCCTTTTGGATTGCCTTCTCTCTTCCTTTTTCAGCCCAGTCATTAAAATCTGATGAGGAGTGCTTCTTGAGGGCTGTGTGATGGATTTTCCTGGAATCCACTGCATAGCAATCCAAGAGAGGTTCTGCTTCATTCATACAAGTATCCAAATATGGACTTCTCTTCTGGTTTAGTTACAACTGGCACCAAGCCACGTAAACTTTTGACACTAGATGAAAACTTATTTGCTCACTGGGCTTTTAATTAAAATTCTCTTGCTGGGTCTCTTGCTGTCCCGGTTTTAATAAGTTGTAATTTGTAATTTTAACATGTAATTGCATAGCTGTAATATGTTACATGGCTTTAAGATGCTGTAATTTTAAGAAATTGCAATGTTTTGGTTTTAATATGATGCATCAGTCTACCTAATTTTTTTATCAGTTTAACTATCTCTGCTTATATGCTGTATTTGCCTTTTTATTTCTTTATATAATACTTTGAAGAAATATCTGGCCCTGGATTAATATGAAGACCGAGGAGAGCAACTTAGTTACTAAAGCAACTTAATGAGTTCAATTTTCTGAAAATCTGCTTTATAAACTGGAAGTTGGTTTTATATTATTGTCAATTTTGCTACTTTAGAATAATTTTAATGCTACAGAAGTACTTTTGTTAGGTATCTATCTTTATTTAGGAATGCATGTTCTTTCTGACTATTTACTATACAAGACTACTGAAATTGCTGAGAAAGAAAGAAACAGACAGCAAAGTCTGGGAAGACTGGTGTTTTAAAATGCTGTTTATCCTTATCACAGTACCCAAAATAATGAAAACAAAGCCTATCTGAATGCAAAAAACACTAGCACCCCTAAACTGTATTTGTAATAGATACATGGCAACAGTTACATGACGAGCCTGATTGATCGCATTAAAAGTTCTGTTCAAATTTTACCAAATCTAGCCTGCTCACCATATGAGTACTCAGTCTTACCTCCTGCTGATAAGTAAGAATTGTGCTGGCTTCCTGCAGACATTCACACATACAACTGTATGCAGTTTCCTTCCACGCATGTCAAGGTGCTGTATTGTGCCAGTGTGAAAATTCTTGTTTTTATAATGCTTAAATAGCTAATATATGTGTTGCATGGCTAAAGGAAAAAGGAATACATAATTTCAACCGTGACCCTGATCTGTTTGTAGTTTATGACACTTCAGAAGAATGGAATTTATTTGACTCCATTTAAGCACTTTTAGTTTCAAAACTAGGATAAAAACTGAAATACTAAGTAAATAAGGACTCCAATTCTCTCAACTGATGTAGAAGATAATGGGTTCATTGTCTGGCTCATATTAAATACAATGATGCAAAAGAAGTTGTTTCATAAACCATTGACCTAGTATTAATCTTCAACAGAAAAAAAAAGGACTATTTCAATGAAACAAGTATGAGAGAAGTGACACAACTGAGTCTTTCCAGAGCTGTCCAAATTCTGGCAACCAATCCATTACCCTTTCAGCAGACCCCCCAAGGAAGATTAGCTATGGTACCTGGAGACAAAGGCTGCGTGCAGAAAATGAAAAATCCCAACTGCATTAGGATACCTTTCACTTGCTGTAACTCCCTGTGAATACAGACATTTCAGTGGTTTGTTTTACCAGAAAAGTGAGGTGAACTGGCATCGACCAATGCCACCAGATGGACTTCATGGTTCCAAAGATCTATATGCCTTTATTTTTTTCAGCATATATGTACATGTATGTATGTATGTATGTATGTATTTACTGTAATTTATATAGCACTCTGTATCTGAAGACTTTGAGCAGCTTATAAGTAGTGACATATATGCATGCACATACTTGCAAAAATAAATGTAATAACACAATAACAAGGCCCTCATGTGTTACCATTTCAGATAACAAAGTTGTCAAATGTCCACAAATGTCTTTCTGGGGGGAAAAACACTGTTTTTACAACTTTTCAAAATATAATAGAGAGTGTGTGGCTGGGATATGTGGGGATGGGGGTGAGGGGTAGGCAATTCCATAGATGAAAGTCATCACTTTGAAAGGTTAAGCATGGGGACCCTGCAGGTGGCGTTTCCTCAGATGTGAGATTCTCAGCAAGCCTTCTGTACTAAATATCACTGGATGGTCAAATTAAACTCAAAAAACTCAGTCTCCAGATATGAGCCATGTAGAGCTGTAAGCGTGATAACCATCACCTTGAATTCCACTGGAAAGCTAATGTGCATCCAGTGAAGCTCTCATGGTAGGACTGTTTCAGGGGCAAGTCTAGGTACACCTAGAACTACTTGGGTTGCTATATGTTAGACGAAGCTTCTGAATGGTCTTCAAGAAACCTCTGAAACACTGAAGGTGGGCATCCTTAGGCCACTACCATCACTCACTCAAATGGAGAAACAGGCCCAGCCAGACACATTGCCACCCCTCTTCCTCATGAAGAGCACAACCAGCTCCATCACTGTTACTAATGCAATGCTGCCAATTTTCCAGCAGCTGAGTGACAGTATCTCCAGCCCAGCACCACATAGTGCTAAACGGCTTATTGGCAATGCTGCCACCACTCTACCACCAACTCATCACACAATCCAGTTGGCCACATTTTAGAATTTCTTTTGCTGGAGGGTGGGCTTGAACTTATAGCTGAAAGGCTGTGGAAGTGCTGGCACTTAAAAAAAAAAATTCTCCATTACTTTATAAGCTGTCCTCCACGCCGCTGCTTCCAGATCTGAAATGGTCTATGGGAGAAGTCCCCACAAGATGTCTTCTATTGGGACTTTACTGAAGCACAGGAAAGCAGGAAGGGTGCAGATTGCTGGAGAACTAATTATAACCCTATCTCTCAGCCACCTTTAAGTTAAGTGAAACCATCTCTTATATAAATCATGAGAATTTTAACAAAATATCCTTAACTTTCAGCAAAGAACCATTAAAAGCAACAGTTCTCATTCAACTGAATGAGAACATTTGGAAAACTGCGGAATAAATTTTCTGCATTGCACTATTATTACAGATATAAGTGAGGATAAACCCCATAAAGGAAGGAAGCAGAGAGAAGAGAAAGAGAAAATAGATCTTGTTTCTTTAAAAATATATACTGGGTAACAGAACAAAGCAACTGACAGGAGCAGCATTTACACTGATCTCCTAACCACTGGGATATGTTGGTGTCCGTCTTCAACTGGGATAAGGCAGAAAAAATATTTTGTCAGTGATGCTCAATTTCTGTCTCTCCAGATGTTGCTGAACTGTTGCTTCTAGTTTCCTTTACAGTTAGTCATGTTGGCTAGAACTGCAGAGTTATAGTTCACTAGTTCACTAGCATTTCCTAGCCTGAAACCTAGAAGCTTGCTGATAATATAGTTGCCATCCTAGAGGGATAGCTTTTTTGATATTGCCGAGATTCTTCCAGACCTGATAACTGTATAAACCAGTGTACTATTAAAACTTTCGATAAAAAAATGAGCAACTACAAAAAAGTGTGCATTTGGATGTTGCCTAAAACTGTCCAGTAGACATGAAATACCATGTTTTTTAAAGAAATTTTACACACTAAGAACACTTTTTTTCAACTATTTTTAAACACCTATAAAATTTTGGATTGGAGGTAAAGATCCTGTGTTGCTTCCCTTGCTCTACTCGATGCATGTTTGTTACATTACTTTAACACATTACTAATTCATTTATCTTAATGAATCTGACCAACAGGTTCAAAAAGGCTAATATCACAGACAACATCCATACAAAATTTAAATAATAGATTTTTCAATCTAAATATTTATTACAACAAGCTACAGAAATGTAGCATCTTTCTACTTTAACATGATGGAAAGAATAACCATTCAAGATTCAAGCAAAGTGCTTCCTTTAGTGATGTCGGTGATAGTCTATAGCTCTGTCATCTGAGAAACAGTATAGGGACACTCTTTCCCACTTTCAGTTATCCATGCAAAGAAAATACAATCTTAGCCAATCTTAGTTTCAGTGCTAATGAAAAAGCATTTATCCACAAAAAGTGAATCCACTTTTTTGCCTTGCACTGGTTGAGTACTGACCTAGAAAAAAGCTATTGAAAACAAATGGATTTAAATTAGTTGTGGCTAACTTGTCTTGGTGAATTGTTGCCAACAGTGCAATTAGTAAAAAGCATATATTGCCTGGTCAAGCTGTTTTCATTTTTGCACAAATGGAAATATTTTTAACCCACTTGCACACGCAATGGTGTTAGGTGTTCTGAAAGCCATATATTGCCCTTTCAAAGGACATTGTATTAGTTGTATAGTTGTTGCACAAAGCAATTTGTTGTACCTCAATAGACTAGTAACAATTTTATTAGAGGTTTTTTGCCAAGGCAGGAGTGATCAACATGTGGTTCTCCAGATGCTGCTGAACTCTAATTCCTGGTAGGTGACATCAACATGACTAGTGGCAAAGAAAACTGGGAATTGCAGTTCAGCTTGTAGTTTAGTCTGCCTATACAAGCCCTAGAGCAGGAACAGGCAACCATTCTTTTGGTTAAGCAACAAACTTTTGGAGATACATGTTTTTAGGTCACAGTGAATAAAACAGTGAAGTGACGTAGAACAGACTGTAATTACATATGATGGGGCTGTAAAATGGAAACACACATTTTTGTGTGTTCAGAGGAGGGTTCCTTAGATTGCTATATGTTTTAATGTTTAACTCTGCTATATAGCTTAAACAGATTTAAATTATTTCTCCATCCTAGAATTGGTGGAAAACCATACAAGTAATTTTCAATAGCTTATTTTGTCAGTGTGATCAGAGGAGGAGCAAAAGGGGTCTGTACAGCCCTTGGATTGTCCATCCTACCATAATGAAATAATGGTCTATTAACATTAATTAATCACTCTAAATATGATTAATTCAGGATGCAATCCACAGTAGCTAAATTAATGCTTATTCATAAAAATGATTAAAGTGTCTGTTCTATCTTGTATCCAGGATAAAGAGTATAATTGGGGGGAAATGGGAGATATATTGCCTTTAATCTTTCCAATATGTTTACTTCACAAATACATGTATTTCTAGCAAGCTATTTGTACACAGTGTAATTATTATCAGAAGAAGTTAAATATATCATGTACTAGGTATGCATGGCAAATTCAAAAATATTTTTATTCAGTAAGAAAATGACTGCTGTCTTTTACTGATAGTATTGCTATAGCTATTACTATGGAATAATGAAAGTGCTAAAATGCAGCCTGATCAAATACTTCATAACAATTCTATTTAAATACGCCAGTATGGGGTTTTCTTCATTATTTGTTACTAAAACTAGACTTTTTTGAAAGCCAGCTTCTTGTTGAAGTGTCTTTGGGCCCCTACTGGTATTTTTGTGCTTCTCTATATGTCTCTTATTTAAAAGGGACTAATTCGATGCCATAGAGGGATTGTTGAGGTCAGCCTACTGTCCAATGGGAAAGTGCCTTTTATAGAAAATACACTCATACTGTTTATAGAAAAATCAGTTCTGTTAACATACATCTAATAAGAACCCCATATCATACTTCATAAATTCTGAGTATGTAGACTATAGCAATTAAGGAAATAGCCATGACCAGGTAAAAAAGGCATAATGTAAATTAGCTCATGAAGTTATGAGAGCTTTGGGTTTACAAGATGTGTATCAAATTTACAAAAAATCCATTTAAAATTTGTTTCAATGTACAAATAAATTTGGTAAATCACATTCAAGTAATGGAAATTTTTTATTTCATGTTTGGGTATCAGTGTGGGGTTTAACTTCATAGTTTTCCACCAAAGGATTTCCCCCCTTAGCTTCAATTTATCTGAAACTGTGCAAAACAGAAACAAAAAACCTACGATCAGCTGTTGTAATTTACTCCAAATGCTTTTCCAAAAGCCACTCTCAAGAAGACTTCTCCATATTTTAGCAAGGTAGTCTTTTCTTCTGACCAGTTTCCATTCTTTACTCACACCTGTCAAAAAATAAAAATAAAAATGCACAGTGCAGTCACACACCAAGGCACAAGTTGCAGGACTAGTACTGGAAGCAATCTTCACATGTCATTTTGGTAAGCAAAAGGGACAATGTCCCTTCCCTATTTTTTTTAAAGATACTATATAATGCCAGTGTCACTAATATTTGCATTTCATATCACAAGAAACAAAATACTTCCATTATTTTAAGCTGTTCCCTTTGCTTATATTAATTGTCTGACACTAAATCACTTCAGAGACCATCTGTATTTTTATTCCATAGTGAGCCATCTTAAGCAGGAGAAAATATCAAGTCTGACAATAAAACTGAGCTGCCAGTAGTCTTTGATACTTAAGGCTACCTATCTTTCAATGGTGCCCACAGTTTGTATATTTAGGCATGATATATTTTTTTTACTGAATATTTTGGTTTTATGGATGATCACTGTTTTATTTATTTGATTACTGTATATTGTATATTGTTTTATTTTACTATTGTAAAGCACTACGTTGTACAATTCATTGGCATGGAAAGCAAATAAATAACAAAGACAGACTGGTTTATTTAATTAATGTGTACATACACACACAGAGAGAGAGTACAAAAAATAATACCATGGCAGTGTAAAAAAGATAAAAAGGCACATGAATGTTCCAAAGACCTATTGCTAAGGTTCTCCCTGTGTTTACGTTGTATTTTTTTTTTTTTTTCTGCTACTAGAGAAACAATCCATCAAGCTCTACAAAAAAATTGGCTGTCTCCAAATATAGGGCAGAAAATGTTAACTGAATATATGACACATTTTGTTCTCTGTTTGTAAGAAGAGTTCTTTCCTGTATTTTTGAATATATTGTCTTAGATGACTCTTTTTAACCCTATGCCCTGTTTGAACTACTGCAATATAAGAGGTTGGACTTTGTTGTCCCACTTGAAAGACCTGTACATTTCCCTGCTTTCCTTCCCAAAGTATTTAATTTGCAGAAAATACAATAGACCTGGGATGAAGGGTGATGAGGTCACTTTTACAATCTTTAAAATAGACTATGATGTTCCTGCAATCAACAGACTGTTGATCCACTAGCTGATGGAGATTTGCTTATGAAGGTTTTACAAGACTGTTACTGAAAACAAATCTAGCTCTAATTTGTTAGCAAGGATGCCAACATTTGTTAGTAAGAAATATAATTTTCTATGTACAGCTAGGAACAATTAAGAATTAATTATTCCTGAGTAACATTACTGGTTTTCGGTTGCAAAACAGCATTACTGAAATGAACTTTTGTGTTCCGCTTAACTGCCTTTAATTTTTTTATTTATTTTTTTTAATGTAAGCAGTTTCTGGTGCTTCTAAATGTAAAAGAAGTTCCTTTTATTGTTTTCAGTGTAAAACCTAGGAAGAACTGTGCAAGATCACATGATAATTCTATACTGTTTAGAACTTTGTTCCTGCCTTCAGCAACCATACGCCTATGGAAAGCTATGAGATATAGTAACACTTTCCTTGACTGAATTCGCAGTGCCTCAGTGCTGAGAGTTCATCTATAGCAGTGTTTCTCAACCTTAGCAACTTTAAGATGTGTGGACTTCAACTCCCAGAATT